TTCTGTTGGCTCATCATCGTCTAACTGGTCAATACGAAAACCGGAATTTGGTGCTGAAAGTTGATTGGGATTTGGATTAGAGAAAGGTTGTGGGTTTTGAGAAAAACTTAGTTGATTACTACCCGCTACTGACCCAACAATACTACTTCTAGGTTCAACAACATACAATGTAACATCATCTTGTGAAACACTAATGTAAGCAATGAATCGTTCAACATCTTCATTGTCGGTTAACAAATAAACTTTACCATTTCTCTGATAAGATAGCCTAAATCCACTTAGGGGCTCTAAATTCAATTTATTTGAAACACGTAGCATTAGAGTTTCATAAGTTAACTTTTGTAAAGACAATTTTAGTTGAAGATTCATGGGTAAAGGCATATATTGTAAAACACCATGAACATTATCCCATGACCCTCCAAAACACAAATCTATCCAAACATGATCAACATTAGATGATTTCATGGTTGTAAATTAATTTACTAAACAGACGAGCTGCGAAACTAAAACCTGTTGCCGGATTGGGAAGGATGTCGTTGGATATAGGAACGGATGTCGCCGGAGAGAGTGATAGATGGAGATGGAATGAGTTGCGATTTAGGGATTTAGTTTATGATTTCAGTGTTATATACCCAAAATTTCAGTGTTGTGATTTACAGATTCTCGTTGCGATTTACGGATTATCGTTGCGATTTACAGATTCTCGTTGCGATTTACGGATTATCGTTGCGATTTACAGATTATCGTTGCGATTTACGGATTATCGTTGCGATTTACGGATACGCGTTGCGATATACGGATACGCATTGCGATTTACGGATACGCGTTGCGATATACGGATACACGTTGCGATTTACGGATACGCGTTGCGATTTATGTGTTCGCGTTGCGATTTTCATATTCGCGTTGCGATTATGGAAAATCGCAATGCGAATTTGTACTATCGCATTGCGATTTTCAAGAATCGCGTTGCGATTTTGGAAACTGATTTGCGATTCTGGGGATCGCGTTGCGATTTTTATTTCGCGTTGCGATTTTGTTGGTCATTTTGGCAAATCCAAAAAAAGTTGGTTAAAATCGTATATTATAACTTTTTTTTGGTCACTGAGGCGATTTTCTCTTTAAAATATGACCTTTCTTTTGAAGATCTCTCCTGATTGTGCTTGGTACTTCGAAATGGTCTCCGACCACGGTCGTCCAGTTCTCGTACATCACCACATTGGGTATCAACTGCATCGAACAGACATTCTTAGGTTAATGAATCAAGAAAACCAATGCCAAATTACCCAGAGTTTTCTTCAAAAACCTGATGGTATATCCTGGGAGCCATTACGGATGAGAGCGGATCGATCCCTAGAGCGAAATGGTTTAAGAAAACCTCTGTAGTCCCTGCAATGATGTTGCCTCCTCCACTTGCACCAACCACTCCTTTTAGCTTCTCATCCTGCAAAACCACTTGAATGTGAACCAGTTTTCGAATGGGTCAGATTATGCTTTTGAAATCATTGAAGTGGCAAACCTTCAGTACAACTGTGGGCGTCATAGAGGACAATGGCCTTTTCCGAGGGCGGACGAAGTTTGGCGGTGCCGGTGGAGGCATATTTCCGGAGCCATTTTTAGGCATGGAGAAGTCATCCATTTCATTATTGAGGACTATCCCGGTACTTGGTGAGAGTATTTTTGAACCAAAGTAAGCATTCACCGTACTAGTCATCGAAACCGCATTTCGATCTTCATCAACAATGGATATATGGCTCGTGCCATGATCATGAACTTGGCTCCACCTGCCATGATGCAAAGTTGATCATATGGGAGAAAATGAAGTCTTCGACAACATCTCAAAGGTGGTTTTTACCTTCCACCATAGTGAATGGGGCCAAAAGTCATGGTATCATTGATTGTCTTCTTCAACTTCTTCGCAAACTCGGGGGAGTTCATATCAGCTACGACTTTCGAAACATTGACGAATTCCGGATCACCAAAATTCATCCTCACGGCAAATGCATGCTTCAAGGATTCAATTAGTCTATGGGTTCCGAGCGACCCCGAAACACCAGAAGGTACTGCGTATTGTGTAAGGATGTTCAATGCCTGTTACACGAGAATTGGAACAGTCATTGTTTTGATGAACTTAAAATACACAAAACATAGGGCAGATTACACTTACAAGCACCATTGCAACACCCCCAGAGGATGGAGGTGGCATACTAAGAACTTTAAGGCCTAAAATGTTAGCTGAGATCGGTTCCCTCGTTTTAACTTCATACTTATTCAGGTCGTTTAAGGTCATTATTCCTCCAGCTCTTTGAACATCTCTTACCAAATTCAACCCGATCGATCCGTTATAGAACGGCTCGATACCGTATATTGAAATCTTTCTAAGAGTTTCTGCTAGTTTCTTGTTGTAACATATATCACCTACTTGCAGAAGCTCCCCATTTGTTGTTAAGATGTCTCGGAGCCCTTTATCTGCCAAGATTCCGGGTTTCGAACTTTCCATCTGCATTCGGAGATATCTCGAAATCTCGAACCCATTTCGAGCAAGAACCTCGGCCGGTTTCACTAGTCTTTCCCACGGAAGCCTCCCATGTTGTTTCCAAGCTTTGTGAAGGCCTGCAAGTTCCCCTGGCACTGCTATAGAGAGGGCTCCTTTTGCCTTTAGAGCACCATTTCCAGCATACATATTCTGCAGAATAGATAAAAGTGAGGCCATCAATGAAGAAAAATGCATAAAAATGGATTCAACATATCGAAAAAAACAAGTGAATTATATCGGTATGCACCATGGAAGCTTTCGATGGAGCCGTTTCTCTCATATCGAATGCTTGTGCTTTCCCATTAGCTTCCCTGAGTAGCATAAAGGCTCCTCCACCTATTCCACTCGATGCCGGGCTTACGACGCCCAAGCAAAGCGATGCAGCCACCGCCGCATCGACTGCATGACCCCCGATCCGTAGAACGTCGACCCCGATTCTCGAACATCGGCCGTCGTCGGTAGCTACCGCACCTCGGCGTGCAACGACCACTTCTCGTCTCCTTTTGGTAGTAGAACCACTTATGTCTGAAACAGCAAGCGACAACAAAACAAACAGAAACGCAAAGGTGATGCGCAACAATGGCAGAACTGCAAAAACAAAAACAGAGAAAACACATGATTGTTGAATTAAAACAACATAAAAAAGAACTTCATGGTATGAAATAACCAAAATCTAACGAAAAAAGGAAGACAAAAGTTACTCACATGACATGTTTCTTCTTGTTTCTGAAATTGGAGCTTCCAAAAAACAAGATTCTTCTGGGATTTGAGGTTCTTCTTCTGGATATGTATATAAACATGAAAATCATACATTGAAGGAACTCAGTCCCAAAAGTTTCAAAGAAGTGCCTTATCTAACTAAATTGGTAATTCCTGCAAAACTTTCCTGGAAACAATGATTAAAAGTTTGGTATGTTTTTTTTCTTTTCTTTTTTTGAGTGTTTTTGTGTTACTGAGAAAGAAATATTATATTTAGACTTATTATACAAATTAAATTAAATTAAATTCAAATACTAATAAATTTATATAATAATATATTTAATGATCATTATTTTATAAATTCTATCCATTACGCCATCATTGGGTAGGCATTCGCATTATAAATTTTGAAAATGACCCAACAATGATAGGTCAAATATTTAATGGCTGTCTTTGCAAAACGACGAAAAGGACAAAGCTATATTCTTCTATTGGGTTTTTATTAGTTTCACTATTGAATTTTAAAATATTTTCATTTTAATATACTCTAATTTCGGTTTTAATGTAGATATTGGGCCATTATCTATTAACAGTATGATAATATAATATTCTTCTTTAATAAATTTTAATTTTTTGTTATTAACTTTTAAAATATTTCATTTTCAAGCACTAAACTTGAGCTTATCTATTATTTTGGCCCATACATACAATTATAAATAGGATAAAGTACAAATTTCATCACTAAACTTTACTCTCTCTCCTATTTTACTTACAGAACTTTAAAAGTTTTCAATTTTCTCGATGAACTCAATACATTGAATTTTTTTCGTTCATTGAACTTTACTCTCTCTTATTTTTGTCACTCCGTCATTAAATAGTTAACAGTGTTAAAAATAACGCCGTTTTAAAAAAAAATTCACCAAAACGACGTCGTTTTGCATATATATAATAACCTATTTTATTGTCGTTAACTATTTAACGGCCGAGTGACAAAAAGAATCCATTGTATTAAGTTCAGTGAGGACATTGAAAAGATTTAAAGTATTTTGAGTGAAATAAGATAAAAGATAAAATTCAGTTATTAAATTTATAATTTACCCGTGGGTTTTCACAAAAAATTAGTATAAAATTATTCTCATTTCACACTTATTTATTCCTTTTATGTTATTTTTTAAAAATTTTTACTTAATCGACTTAATTTTAAGATATATTAACTAACACTAATGCACAATAAAGATGCATAAAAATTAGGCATGAGATCATGCCCGCAGACTCGTAGTTTTCTGTTTTCAAGCTGGACCACTGAATCATTGTCTTTCCTTGATGACTTCCACTTCCAATGTTTACTTTTTATTGTTATATTCGCCTTTAGTCCCTATATTTTAATTAATTGTCTACTTCAGTATTTTCTAATAATCTGATCGAATCGAATCTATATACTTTTATTAATTTATAAATCAAATAAATTGAGAACCGGAAATTACTAAAATGCCATAATTCTATATTTTCATTTAAATATTCAAAGTGTAATGTTTCTATCTTTAAAAATAGAATATTATAATTATATAGTTTCAAATTAAAATTGTATTTATTATTTAAAAAAATAAAAAAAATTACGTGGGCCTCGATGCCCATTTCCCCATTTAGTATTAATAAGGCCTAATACGCAAATGAATTATACAACCCAATTTCACAATTTGAATTAATAACTCAAGCCCAATAACTAAAATTCTCTGCAGATTCGCGACGGTAAATAGAGAGGAAAAGGGAATTCAAAACAAGAGGGCGGGACTACCACTACGCGAACTACTTTCTCATCCCCTCCGAAATTCTTCTCCTAATTTGTAGTTTCAGGTTTGTTTATCTACTCTTTCTTTCTTTAACGATGCTAATTGAGTCGGGGATTTGAAGATTTTTTTATTAATTTTATATTTCATTAGATTCTAGCGATCTTTGATGCGGATGAAGATCTCGTCACTGAATCGGTGTCTTTCTCTCGTTTTTTTTCATTAAATTCTGACTGTTTATACGCTTAATCAAATTTAGAGCGATAAAACCCAAAAATTATCAGTGCAAATGGCGAAGCGTAGAGCTAAAAAAGCTGTTAAAGAAGTTCCAGCACCAGTTGAGTGCGGAGTAGAGGTAAACGACAAGGAGGGCCAAAATAAGGAGAAAAGATTCGGATTAATGGATCAGGAAGGTACGATATTTGGTTGTCTGTGCATTTTACCTTGAAACAGCTTTGAATTGATATTATATTTGGTTATCTGTGCATTGTACCATCGTTTTATGTTTTAGAGCAACTTTTGGGATGTAAATTCAAGTAATTGAACTATGGAAACTGTTTTGAATTGGTCTTATAGTTCAAGTGTTTGTGCATTTCATCATTGGTTTTGTTTTAGAGCACCATTTTAGGATATATGTTTTAAGCGAATAGAACTATAGAATCTGCTTTGGAATTGCTTATTATGTTTACGCAGTTTAATTGTTTTGTTTTTTCTGTAACAGTTGAGCAGCAGTGTGCTGCAATTAGGGCTGTCCGGGATGTAGAGATTGACCATTTGCTGACTGCTTTGCGTTTATTACGTTCATACTTTAGTGAAGAGCAGCTTCAGACGCCTGCATTGCAATTTTTTAATGAGAACCTCCCAAATCTACCAGTTGTAAGAAATGCAGAAAATGGACAGTTCGAAGTGCAGTGGAAACACGAGGATGGTAACCTCTCCATTCATGATGCCGATGGAGGAGATATCCATGCTTGTCTTTTGCATCGCATGTCCTTAGTTTATGCTAACCACCCTTCTATTCCGTCTTACGGTGGCTTTGAGTTGTCAACTGAAGCAGGTAGTTTTGAAGCTTTTGCAATTTATGATGCTAATATTAAATTTGATTTATTGTATTGATTTTGTCTGAAACAAGTTTCCTTGTTGGCAGCAAGAATGAGCCTTCTAAGAGCTGACAGTCAGCAGAACAAGGACTTCGTATGTTCTCTTTATCCTGCATCAGAAACTAGTAAAATAGTATAACATGGCTTCCTTTTTTCTTTTGGGATTGAATAGATTTGGAGTTACAACATTTAACGGGTGCTTGGATATTCCTGCATTTATTATCATCTTGTAGATTGGGAGCTACCTTTGTTCTAGCATATTTTCATTATCTATGTCATTTTGCATCACTTTTTGTATGAACAACTAATTTCCATCCTCTCACTGACCATGATTTAGTTGTAAACGAATAAAAATGGGGTTTTCTGGGGTTTTACACATGCCATTTTTTGTACATTGTTGCAAGATGTAGACAATGAGTACATTAAAGCATGCTTGACCTTTCATCCAGCCATTGATGTTATGTTATAGATTGAAGAGTTTATTATACTATGTTAACTTAAAATTTTCTGTTTTGCAGATTTTGGAGGGGACATCTGAGAGTCAGATGTTTGGAATGCATGAGGCTCTTCAAACTCCTGGGGTCTGTACCTTCATATTTCATACTATTTCCACCCTTTTTTCTTCATAAACTAGGATTCTAGTTTATCATTTTATTTGTGTGTATAATTTTTTTGGGGTGGATTGCTTGCATGATTTTTCTGGGTTAAAGTTTCTTATGATAATTTTAGGTTTTACTTAATATCAAAATGAAAACTGGAAAAAAGGAAAACAGTTCATAATGATGAAGACCATTTGTGATTGGGCAATTGGCAGAAATAAATTAAAACTGTTAAAAGCTTGTTCCAACTATTGAGGATGAAGTGGCTTCCATTGTTTATTTAATTTATCCATTGGATTGAAAAGAAAATGGTTGGAGGCAAACGATCATTGTTATGCACTTTTCAGTTATTAGATACTATCATTGCTAAATTAAGTCATTGATCAATATTCTGCCGGTATAATTTGGCTTGTAGGATAGTTATGATAATTACATGTAGTTTCTGGTTGTTTTAGTTAACCATCTTCTGCTATGTTGCTATGGCTCTTTGATTATTCATTAAGTACACGTGCTATGTCTAATGCTTATCTAGACATTGGCATAGATCCTACAAATACATAAGAAAACTTCAATCCTTTTTTTTGGAAAATACCTGTCTTAGTCACTAAGGAAACAAACACTCGCACTCTAGTCCAAGGAAAGTAAATCTTTTGTCCGCAAAAGCCCTCACTAAAATGGTTTATCTTATTTTGCTGTTATTTCAGGTGACCAGCCAAAGGTTATCAGTTGGAATGACACCCAAAACAAAGAGGTTGCCGAAGCCTGGAGAGATTCTTCTTTCAGTCCATGGCTCACCCCTTGGCGTCTACAAAGAGGATAATATGGAAGCCATATATGGTATCATTTTAGTGTTGTTTTCCCTTGTCTTTATAATTTTCAAGGTCAATATTCAGTTGAAGATGCAGGTTTTGGCCTAGTGGCTCATGTATCCCTTGACACGAATCGAGCCTTCAGGCCAGCCAAACCTTGGTTATGGATGGCTCAACAATCAAATCATTTTTGTATTGCTTATTAAAACATAATGGTTTATGTGTTTTCATTCATATGCGATATTTTCTTGAAATACTCATATTGCCCCTTTGTCATTGTTCTAATTTCTGTGTTTTTGTTTGCAGAGTCTGATGAGGGTTGATTGGCTTCAAATCTATGCAACATTAGCAATAAACTTCAAAGGCCCTTGAATCATCCTACTGGTTGTTATTATAATACACTGTTATATTTTGAATATGACTGCTCCCGAAGTTTGCTTAGGATCTATTTTGTTACTTTTTCTTGAATTTGATCTTGTCTCTGTTACCCGAGCTCAAGTTATCTAGTTGAGTTATTGTCCATGTCAATGGCTTTCCAAAAGAATCTGCAACATGCAATCTTAGTTTCCCATTTTAACTGAAATGTGCTTTGTTATGGAATAGTGATTACTATATCTATTACTTCGATTATTTAGCGTGAATGTCAAGTATGGATAAGTATATATAGTCTTTTCTTTATAACCATATTAGGGCAATTCTTCTAACTTAATTTGTTCGTTCATAATGTCAAGATTCTAATTGTCATATCTTCATTTTAATGTTTGAATATGTATATAGTCTTTGAACAGTCATATCTCTATTTCAATATTTGAGCATGTGTAACACTCAAAAGGAAAATAGAAAAAAAAGGAGTTTGAATCTGGTCTGCTGAAGATTCTTTATTTCAGTTCATTGAAACATTTGAGATGATTTTACGTTAATGGTGAGTTGCAGAGAGTACAGTGAATATATTACGGGATTTTTCTGTTTGAAGAAGATTGAGACTTATCTGTAAACATGGGGGAATTGTAGGGGCATTTTTATAAATATGGAAGAAAATTGAAACTCAGCTGTGCATTGTCAATTGTTAAGATAGATTCTGAATAGATACTAGCTAGTAATCATGACAAGCTAATGGGTTAATAAATTTGTAAGAAAGAAGAGTCCCTTTTTATCGTGCTTCGGATATCAATTTTGTATAGGTTATTCACCCTATACAGTTACTAATGGAAATGAATTGCTGAATAAAAATTGTAGGGGCATTTTTATAAATATGGATGAAAATTGAGACTCAGTTGTGCATTGTCAATTGTTAAGATAGATTCTGAAGAGATACTAGCTTGTAATCACGACAAACTATTGGGTTAATAAATTTGTAAGAAAGATGAGTCTCTTTTTATCGTGCTTCGGATATCAATTTTGTATAGGTTATTCACCCTATACAGTTATTAATGGAAATGAATTGCTGAATAAGCAAGTTTTCTTAAGAAACATGATAAATTGTTTTTGTTTTCTAAAACTTTGAACCTTTTGTCCCTTAAAGTTACATGTGTCCTTGAAACATGATAGATTGCTAAAGTTTGATGCATTTTAGGTCTATTTAAGCGTTTTTTATTTTTTTACAGATGGCAAGGACTCAAAAGAACAAAGCAACAGCTCATCATCTGGGCTTGCTCAAGGTGAAAATGTGCTTTTTTTTTTTTGGAGTTCTATTTTGGTTCAACTTTGGAATTATGTCATTGAATTAAAAGATGCTTGGTTTGCATTTTTTGTTGGTGTTCATTTTCACCAATCGAAATTATTTGTGTTATCGGTCATTTGGCATTAGGCTAAACTTGCAAAGCTACGAAGAGAACTCCTTACACCTTCATCAAAAGGAGGAGGTGGTGCAGGTGAAGGCTTTGATGTTACCAAAAGTGGAGATGCAAGAGTTGGCCTAGTAGGTTTCCCTTCAGTGGGGAAATCTACTCTTCTTAACAAGTTGACGGGGACATTTTCAGAGGTATGAATGACTGTTTTTTTATGTCACAATGGACCACTGACCACATGAAACCAATGCTTGTGTCTTCTGTTATCAGAAATGCTAGTATTGAAAAACCCTTTTTATTGCCTTCCAAAAGACTTATGAAACATGCTCTTATCTCTACCATACCAAAAATACATTGTCAAAACATTAAACATTGAAATTTTCTGGAAAGGAATAGGGTTAACCTAGTGTGAAAGACTGATAAATTGTGTAGACTGGACTTGTGAAGTTTATTATGACATTATGTTGCTCTTAATCTTCTCGTACTGTAAGGTACTAATGCCCATCAAATGTTAGGTGCATATAGTTCTGGAGGTCCGCCCCTTGAAATACACGGAAAATAGGAATAACTAATCATGTCAAGCACATATCAGTGTCCAAAATGCATGAACACCCCCCCCCCCGCGGGCGGGGTCTGACTCTGAGTAGCCTATCTTCCCTTAGTTGACTTTGCATGTAAATTCATTTGTCTTTGGTCTTATGTAATCTCTTATATTGACTGAACATAATGTTTAGCATGATTATTTTTTGGGGTTGGGGGTCAGAGGGAGTATTGAGTATAACATGTTTACTCTGGAGGCTTCTGCCGAATATAGTGCAGGAACTTATGAAGACTGATGGACTTGTTTCTTTTTTGTGGTTTATAGGTTGCTTCCTACGAATTTACTACACTAACTTGTATTCCAGGTGTAATCATGTACTTTTTTTAAAATGCTTAATGTACTTTTTCTGTATTCGTGGTTGATTAAATTTTAGTAAAAGTTTTGAATAGTTGTTTCCCTTTCGTTTGTTGTACTATTTTACCTTTGGGAGCAATGTATATCATATGATAAAACAGGGTGGTTGTTCATTCCATATTCTGTTATATGTTTTTGTGTTGTTTCATTAATTCTGTTTAATATTTTTTTTTATAGAAGTTGGAGGTCTCATTAAAAACTCCCTTCATATTCTTCCACATACTTAGAAGTATGTTGAAGAACATTGGAAGGAAGAAATAAGTGTCTCGTATTTTATTAAATATAAGACCAAGTACATGTGGTAACACCGAACCCTCATACGAGAATATACACCATTACAAACCATATCACCTAAAAATCTTCCATCTTCAATCAAAAAGCCTCTAAGACAATAGCCCTATTTCTAAAATACACCTCAAGATGTAAGATAACATAGCAAAATAAAACCAACAATTACAACCACAAACTTTAAAAATGCCTCTGAATATAACTGCCGAACAATCACGATCCAATTGGAGGAACAAGTTCTAATGAAATATCGCAATCTTCAGGGACCCAAGAATTAAGTTTGAAGGAAGGATCAACTTCATGCACCAAGATTTTGAATAAATTATCACCGACCTTCAACTCCAACAAATCATCAATTTTCCCTTGAGCATTTGTGAGTATTTGAATTTTAGCCCGATCAAAAGACGATGGAAACTCACAACTGTTGTCAATTGCTATTAACTTGTCCCACTTAGTTGCAATGTTTTTGAAAGTATCCCAATTCCAAGCGTGGAAAGGAATACCTTCGCAAACTAACCACACGCGCAGGCACTCCACCACAAGGCTCTCTGACCAAGTTTCCACTCTGGAAAACCATTATGCAAGAGTCTCTAACTTATCATCTTTCACGCTTCTCAACGAATCAGAGTCTTCAAAAACCATTAGAACTACATTTCCAGCAGCTCTCATTAGCGTGAAACCAGCGAGACCTTTAGCTTGCATTTGGTTAGCAAGATTGACTATTTTGATGAAGTTCTTGCACCACCCTACAAGACAGTTACTCAACACTTGAAGTTTATCTTCGTCCACAACACCCTTAACTTCACAGTGTTTATTCCTCGAAACATCTACCATCCCAGACTTACGTTGAACGACTGTCGAGGTCTTTCTCCAATAAAACTGTCGAGGATTATATTTAGCCAAGGAGACTCTAATTTTATTGCCGTAAATAAGAGCACCATTCATGTTTGATATTGCTTTCCTTGCTTCTTCAATTGTTGCAAAGCCAATGAAACCAAAACGAATTCCTTTCGCATTCCTTTTATTAGGAATGAAGGCATCAATAACATGACCGTGAGTGCAAAATAAAGATCCGAGTCTCTTCCAATGGATCTTCTCCGGTAGGTTCTCAATGAATATTGTGACGCATCCACTTCTATACCCATTACAACCATTTGTATGACCTTCCTTCCACCAATTTAGAAATCCGTTTCTTCTCCTTCTCGCTACTTCAGAGGATTTTTCATTGGAATGCCCCTTCGTAGTTAACTCCTTGGTTCCATGGTGATCAACATCAGCAGCATAAGGAGCGGGTGTTGCCTCTACTATAGAAAGCTTCTCAATCCTATAATTCCCACCTTGTGAAGGAGACATACCACTGTCATCAATCCTAACAACAGGTGGATGACTGTCTAATGTTCCTTTAACAGAGCATTTTCCAAAGAATTGGTTGAAAGTGGTCTTTCACCCGACCTCGTTGAATATACTCTTAAATTTTGCTGATTTTGGGGTATAGGAGAGTGCCTGTAGGTAGTCCCATCGGACTCAACTGTCCAACCTGCCTCTCGGGCCAAGGCTGCCAGTACATCATTCATAGCAGAACGTACAGGAAGAGGGAAATTACCATACTGCCTCAATCTAGCCAGCATACGTCTAGTGAAGGCTCGCCTGTTCCGTTTTCGAAGCTTTGACCTCTCCTTTTCATTCTCCCTCTCACGTTTCTCCTTGCCGGAGTATGAAGTATTGGTTGCGCCGTCGGATCCATAGGGAGTATTGGTGTGGCACGTAGAGGCTGCACCTGCCGCTGCTGTTGCATCGAACCCTCTAGTTCGCCTGGGCTGAGACGGGGGTTGGGGTTCCATGGTGAGGTCTGGAAATAAACAGAAAGTTGGAGGAAATGGTATTTTCCTGCTGAACCAGATTACTGGAAATCAATGGAGAATAGAAACTATTCTCGACACTTGGAAAGGGAGTTCTGGTCACGAGAAGACGCTGAGTCCGGTGGTGAGGCAGTGTTGAGCACGGACGGCGGGAAGCGGTTAAAATCGGCAGTGGACTTCGTTAAGATCTGCGTTGATTGAATGTCTCTATCACAAATCTAAGGCCAGATTTGAAAACACCGTGGGCCGGCGATCTTCCCAGGAAAAAACGGCGTCAAAACAGTGGTCGGAGTGTGGCGGCGAACGGCTGACGGCGGACAAAGGGTGGATGTTGGTGGAGAGAATAAATATCAAAAATGCCTGGGCTCGTGGAAATTTGAAATTTGAAATCGCTTGGGTTAGAGAGAAGCCAGCTTCTCTCACTAACACGTGATATGCAATATGAAATTAATTCTGTTTAATATTCATATTGTGAAATACCCTTTTGTTTTAAGTTAATGCTTTTAAACCAGTGAATCGTGAAATGCTTTTGGTTTCAAGTATTGGCTATTGCTCGATGCCTTAATTATCAAGAAAACTTCGGTATTTGTGATGAATTTGTTGTAAATCAAATTTCACCTTGGTTATGTTCAAGAACTGTGATAAGTTTTATGACATTTTTCCCCGCTTACTACATCATGACACTTGATTACTTGTTGATATAACTTTTTTCTAGAACACAACAAACTAAGTATAATGCCTTATCATGATTTGCAGTTGTTGGATCTTCCGGGTATAATTGAGGGTGCTAAAGATGGAAAGCGTAGAGGAAGACAGGTGAACACAATTACTTTGTCTGACGTGGCAAATAACTTCTTTGTTTCTTCTACCTTTTCTTATATGTTCAAAGTGTTTGTTATCTGCTAATATTTTTGCATTAGAATACTTGAGAATAATTATATCTGCTCTATAAATAAAGCTTCTAATTGCTCATTTATTTTGTTTAATGTTTACGGTTTAGGTTTAGGGTGATTTTGATTTACAAATTAGAATGGTAATTTTGCATTTCTATAGTTTCATGGTAATATCTTTGTTTATCACAAAAAAAATGGTTTTGCAACTTAAAGTGGTTAATTTTTCATGTTCATTAAAGATGTTATTGCCCATAGCAGGATTGTTTTTTGGTTTAGATGCTGCTGATTTCTGATATTCCTTTCCATGCTCATCCATTGTTGTAAGTATTTTAAAGAAATGCTACTTTATCCAGGTCATCAGCACTGCTAGGACATGCAATTGTATTTTAATCGTTCTTGATGCAATAAAACCAATAACTCACAAGCGTCTTATTGAGAAAGAGCTTGAAGGATTTGGTATAAGGTAGCATCAATTACTTTCTTTTGCCTCTTGATGGTTTCATCCTGATTTTATTTTGGCCTCTTTTGCATTGCATTCCTAAGCCATTCATAAACATTACTATGTTGCTTGTCGCCGAAGCGCTATCAATATGTGGACCTAAGGGTATTCTTTTCCTCTCTTTTTGTTATATTTTATTTTCTAAGCAATTTCAGTTTATTGCTACTTGCTGCCTATTCACATCCTGGATTTTAGTTTTGCCCTGCAACTAATGTTTGTTGTCAGTAGTTATAACTGATCTCCTTAATATGGCATAAATTTGCCCTACAACTAATGTTTATTGCTACTTGGTGCTTGGTATATGTAATTGTAGTGGGATGAAATGTCTGTCATGTTGATGCTTGAGTTATTGTTTTCTAATGGATGATTGTTTACTTTTTGGTTATCATTAATTCTTGATCTTCTGCGTGGTCTACTGACTAATTCCTTTTTGCTTCAATGAAACAGATATGTTGAAGAATATCTTTTTGGAGGTTAAGAACAAATTTGAGACAGCTTTGGGAGTATTTAGGAAAGAGAAGATCACCATTGACCCAGATGACCCAGCTGCTGTCTCTCAGTATGCAAATGTTATGAAGACAGTTAGAGAAAAGTAAGTTCTTTTTGTACTTCTCTTTCATGTTTGACTTGCTCTCCACTCTATTCCTTTGAACATTTGCACTTTTTTTTATCTAGTTGAGTAAATTGCACTTGCTACTCGCCAGAACACTGGAAAGGCAATAAAGTGGTAAGTAAAAAATAGATATTGAGAAAGTTTCTTTGCTCCTGTCACTAAACCTTTTTGTTGCTATATTACTTCATCCTTGCTGTAGAAGGAATGCTCGACAATTGTCAACACCCCTCTCGCAACCAACCCCACCCAGTTCCAGTCTCACCCACCCACCCAAAGGCCGAAAACTGTATTTATCTCATAGAAGTGCTAGTAATTAGAACACAAAAATAATCACTTAATAATCTAAAGAGATTAAATCAAATGCCATTGTCATGTTCAATTGTAAAAATTTGTTTTAGAAACATCAAATTTTACATTTCTGAGAACTTTGTAATTACAAGCTATTGCATGCCTGCTTGAGATCTGGTGGATAATGTCTGTATGGGAAGTGGATTTAATAAATTGCAACTGCCTGTACTTTCTATCATTTACAGTTTTTGAATAACACCTTCACCATTTTTTTAAATTTAAGCCTCTACGAAGATAATGCTCTTAGACTATTTTCTGTTATTTGCTATGAAAACTGGCTTCAGAAGCCCTTGAGCCAATATTGATTGGACTCGAATTAAACTGTTATTAAACCAGCACGTCAAACGGTTTGAGATTATGTCTTTCTACCTTTTCATTTTTCTTAAAGGACATGTGTCTTACACCTGTGCCGACACATATCTGAACATGGGTATGGGATATGACCCTCCAAGGACTCTCAAATTATATTGAAAAAGCTACAGAAATTGAACACACACACATATATATATATATATATATATATATATATATATATTTTGATAGGACATATATATATATATATATTTGGCACTGACACTCGAGTTTGAGTGCAATATGTTTGAGTAGCTTTGTGAATAAAGTAGCTAATTCCCAGCTTGGTTAATTTCCCGTTAAAATGAATTGGTTGCTAATTAGAAACTATTCTTCTTACCTTCCTACCCTCTCGAAGTTGTTTTAACATTGTTGCACAATCTCACTTCCTTACAATATGCTATCTTGTCCTTGTAAACAAGACGGGATAGTGCATTGAATTTGACATGCATTTCATTGATTTATAATTTGTCCTTGCAGGGCTGGCTTGTTTTCATAATCTCAGAGGATCCAATACACCATTCAAACACGAACTCAGGACATTCCAGATGTCCGAACATATTTATTGACATTGAAGGATATAAGGATCAAGTATGTCTATCCCTACTTTGAGTTGCTTATCTTTCATAAATCCTTTATATTGTAATCAATAGGATATTTTGTAGTTTATGGCCTATTTGAATCACGGAAATAGCTTGTTAAACGGAAAATGAATTGAGTCAACAAAAAAGTTGCCTATTTTTCTGAAGCAAAACATGTTTTGGTCATTCAAATGACCCACCTACATTAGCGGGTGCATTTGCACAGTTTGCACTTTGCATTTTTTTCCAAAATATCAAATTTACTACTTTCTACCCTTTTTGCCTGTTATGTGAATATTATTTTCATTGCAATGCTGATTTTTCAGGAAAAAGATAAAGCCAAACTATGGAAAATGATTTCTGCTGGACCATTTGAACAGCAGGCAATAGCATGTTTTCCAAAAAGTTTTGGGGAAGCAATTTCCATGAAAGAAACAAAGCCTCAATTTCGTGTCTGTTTTTTCTGGCATGGTGCATGTTTATGTGGTTCCCATTCTCATAAAGTTCATTCCCTTCTTTTTGTGAAGGTTATAGCTTTCACTGATGAAAATACCTAGAATCTTGTTTTGCAAGGGATTTTCCTATTATGCTCGACTTGAAACTTGTTGACAGTATGGACTTCTTCTGACCATTTTCATATTTTCTTTTCATGAACTTTCAAGTACTTGCTTCAATGACAAATTTTCAACGATCATAATATCTACTTGAATGGATTCATCCTGTTAATTTTCTTCATATCGTTTTCCCTACTGAAGGAGAGGACTCACTGATGAACTTGGTACTGAGGCTATGATGATGGATGCTTTGGAGAAAGTTGAAAAAGAAATCAAGAAGCCTCTTATGAGGGATGACAGAAAATCAATGGCTCTTCTCACAGCCGAGTTTGATAAGATTAACAAGAAGTAAGCATTCTATTCAGTAACTGAGTATGCCTTGTTCTTTTAACCATTGACTAGGATTTTCTGGAAATGGAAAATCCTGCAAATTGCGTTCTTGGACTCTGAAAAAGACTCTTAATGCAATTCCTACAATGGGCCTGTGGTGGGAAAAAATTATCCGTTTTTTTTCTAATCATATTTCACATTGTCCAATTTCACATAATGGCTGCTGTAATATGTGATTTTCGCTATCGAAGAGCTTTAAAATTTCTTGTCCCTAAAGTGCAGAATTATGTTATACTCTCTGATGATGAGCTTTTGTTGAGATTTATATTTATGCTTGCATCCGTTCATAAAACGAAATTGTGAGTTATGATTATGACTTCATGCCTTCTTCGACTCTTGGTCTTACTAGGCTTGGAATCCGGAAGGAAGATCTGCCCAAGTATGAGCAAACACTGGAGCTAAAAATTGCCAAGGCACAATTAGAGGAGCTGAAGAAGGATGCTCTGGAAGCAATGGAAACAAAATCGAAGCGGTATGTTAAAAGTTCTATGTTTTTTTGCTACGATGAATCTCTTTCGTTTCACACTATGGGTTGTTGTGGAGTGGCCACTGGGACTTTTGGCTGGTGATTGGATGAAATTGGTTTAGCTCCTTGAAGCATAGGTCTCAGAAATGTTGGATAAACATTTTATTGTATGCTATGTTACTTAAGCCTGGGACGAGTGTCAGATATGAATATATGTTCTGTTACATGTAAACTTGTTGGGCATAAGTTTCAAGCATGAGCTATGTAGGAAAATGAAGATTCCGGGTAATGTAGTTTCTATACACGTTTTTGTTGATCTTTGGTGTGTTAGAAATTGATGCGGTTTTTGTTTCATCTTCAGGGATGAATTCAAGGATGAGCAAATGCCTGATGTAAAGTCATTGGACGTCAGGAACTTCATCTGAAAAACTCAAAATTTGCTCTTGGTGGTTCCAGTTCTGTTCGAGAATCGGGTAAATTGTTTATCATTTCGCTGTAATAATGATGATGATGATATAATGACAGTTGCAATAAAGAAGCGACTGGTGACTAAGCGAAAAACCATCAGATTTTAACGAGTTTTTCTGTCTTATGGTTGCGATTTAACGACACTGCATCTCAGTGGGGGAATTCAATGCATGAAGCTCCGACTGCTTTTGTTTTCATTAAACTGAAGGTTTTGGGTTGAATTTTCTACTTATTGTGATTTGGTTCCTCCTGTGAATCACTGTAAAGGGATTAGGGGTTGGGTTGAATTTTTGGACAATCTGACCCGAAAATATACCGTCTCCACCCTTAACCCAACCTGTGTGTAGGGTGATTTCATTCGACCATGAGATAAAATCTAAACTTGGCTCCACTCGACTTTGATACGAAATTATTTTTTAAAAATATTATTTGATAAAATAGAGATCTAATTGAAAAAGTAATAAAGGGTATTATTGTCATTATATTAAATACATAAGATCTAATTTCATTATTTTTTAATTTAGGTTGGGTCGAGTATTCTTTGCCTTGAACCCAAACTTGATTTTGACCTAAATCCGTTTTGATTTAAAGCCGAGTTATTAAAAAAAAGAATCTAACCCAAAATTTTTGGATGGGATTAGATTCCATCGGATTTGGGTTCCTACTAACCCTAGATACGCCTATGGGTTTTTTCGGCCTAATATGGTTGCCTAACAAAAAAATTTGCCCAGTAAGGCATATAAAAGTATTTTGGATATATAATATTTGTTACATTATTTAAGGAACACGTCATGTTGAGGTGAATAATTTATTTAATATTTTTTTTTATTTAAATTTATCATGTCGAGCTGATGAGTTTTAATAAAATATAATTTTTAATCAACTTTTATCACATCGCGATAAAAAATTTAAATAAAAAATATTTTTTTATTTGAAACTAATCACTTCAATTTAAATGAGTTTGAGTCACTGTAAAAAAATACTCTAGATCTTTAAATAAACTACTTTGGGCTAAATAATTAATCTGTATGTCATGTTGGACTGATTTTGCCTACGCCTTGGAGGTATAGATAAATCGTTTCTTGGTTAGTATGTTCAAAAAGGCCTAGAATTAATATTTTATTCAAATAAAACCTCATGGTTTTATTCAACTTGTGTAAGCTTTTAATTTTAACCAGCTCTAAGTGATTAGAAATTTAAAAAAAATATATATATATATATATATAGTGGAACTAGTGGATTAATTAAGGTTAAATCATGAAAAGAAGTGTCTTCAGTCCTCGCTTCTTCCTCGTTATCCCAACCCCATTCAACCCCTGACCACGTGATCCGCACGTTTAATTCCTATTTTTGAGGATTTTGCCCAAGTTCTGTAAAGATTTATTTG